AAAAAAAGGTAATGTAATCACTGAAATATGTTAAATCCATTGAATTGTAATTGTATTTTGTGCTTATTAGTGACGCATGAATATTCAAAAATGTACTTTAAATTATGCAAGGAATCTGAGTTTGTTTTTAATCATGATTTCTTTATCTGTTACTAATTGGAGATTGCAAGTGCTAACAAAAGAATAGTTGAAGCAAGAGCAGAGCTGCAAGATCTTGGTGGAACAACTAAGAGACAGACCAAAAAAGCTCTGGTACTGAGCATCCGTAAAAAGTGGGCCAGACAAAGGAAACCATCAAAAGTGCATCCAGATAATTCTACAAAACTAGACTTGGATGAAAGAAGGGCGAGGAGCCGTTGCACTGAAACTTTGCAGTGTGCAAAAATTGTACATGGGGCAACACAATCAAACACTAAGCCGGCAYTAGATGGTCTGTTTTCAGCTTTAGTAAGTAGTTGTAGTAATGAGGAATTTCAAAATTATATCGAGCATTCACCTTCAGTCATATCTAAATCTATTGCACCGATAATAAAAAAGAAAGTRAAAGAATTTGAGTCTTGTGATGATAACATTTCCCGTAGTATGAAAGTGTTATATAGAGGGGGACTTMTAAGTAAAGCAAAATATAAAGAAATACGGTCATCATCTTCTCTAGAAAGTAAGACCTCTAAGAAAAACAAAGGGAGAGTTAAATTTATGGATGGTGTTCCAATTCCCAGAATTCTGCCATATGACAAACTAATAAGTTGTATAAGCTCTCTAGACATTGGTACACTATTTGAGATCTCAGATTATTGTTATGACCTTCCTGATGATGAGAAGGTTGATGGAAAAWATCGTGACTTGGAAGATCTTTTACTAAGAATAGCAAAAATGTATTTATACATTGAGGAGAATTTTGATTGTGATGAGGAGCCACTTTTACACTGGTTTGGCAATGAGAGAGGTACTTTTAAAGTAGCATTAGGTGCAGACGGAGCCCCATTTGGCAAGGAAAGTGAGGCTACAGCATGGCTCATTAGTTTCATTAATGTTACAAGTCATGTTTATTGTTGCAATGATAACTTTTTACTTTGCGGATCAAACTGCAAGGAAGATCATACTGCTATGATACGTTTTGCAAATGACCTTGTTAGCACWATTTCTGAAATTGAGTCTAAAGTTTATAAGGATATTGTAGAAGGTGTCGACATAACWTTTACCTTTGAACTTATACCATCAGACATGAAATGGATAGCATTTTTTGCCGGAGAACTTAACAATGCAGCCCATTATTTTTCAACCTTTGCAAATGTTAATGCTGACAACAAAGACATTGTTGGAGGCACACTTGGAAACAGCCCATCTGACACTTGGCAGCCTTGGGATTATGATCATAGGCTTGAGGTTGCCAATAAGATCAATGAATTAACTGAAAAACTCAAAACTCAAACTATTACTGAAGATACAAAAAGGAAAAAAATCTTGAAGGCCATCAGAGATGAAAAATCTAGGCAAGAAAAAATCCCAATTCTTGGAAAATTAGTTGACAAATGTCTTGCTGAGCCACTGCATTTGACAAACAATGCTTGGCAATATTTTAACAAGCAATTGCTAACTTTAGTAATTGATGTTTCACAAATACCCAAGGGAACCTGTAGTGTCACTGACCTTTCTAATGATTGTCCTTTCTTGGTATATTTGAATTCCATTAAATATGAGCTTAAGTGCAATCTGCTGTATATCAAACTAAAAAAATGGTTTCAGTCAGGGATTTCAAAACCATTTGATTTTAGATTTACTGGCAAGGAAAGTAAGCTTTTTAGTCATAATTTTATGTTCTTGATATCATCTGTTGACAAGTCAGTTTTAGCTCCCACATCTTCCTTCACACTTAAGCTTCATGCTCTTGCTTACTTAGGACTACRTCTTAGAGATGCTGTATCTTTATTCACTAGACAGAAATTATGTGCAACTTATATTTCTAAGCTTAAGAGTCACTGCCAAGCATTTTTTAATACTGCATCCATTTTTCTGAACTCAATTACACCAACTGTGTGGACAATAGGCTATGTAGTGCCCAAACATGCTGAAGTTACTGTTGCCAACTATTCTTTGGGGCTGGGGATTAATTCAATGCAAGGGAGGGAGGCAAAGCATACAAGAGTAAAATCTTATGCAGAGCATGCTTTGACAACCAACAGATGGGCTCTTGTTTTCAGACATGAGTATATAATAACTTTTTACTTAAGAGAGAAAGATCCCTTTGCATCTTTGTTTAAACATGAGAATGTCAGCTATGTTCCCTCTAGAATTGAGACTCCTGAATACTGCTACTGTGGAATCATCAATAATGCTAATGAAGTGCAGTGTAAATTTTGCTCTGATCCTTTAAGAAGTGCTATCTCTAGAAGTTGTGACAAGGGAGAGCTAGACCTTGTTATTCGTCAGTTTTTAAGTACTTTAGATTAGGTTCTTGTGAGGCAAATGTATCTATAAAGAATGTGGTAAATGTTGAATTATGATACTTAAATGTACCTACACTTTCTAGTGAGTCATGGTCTATGCAATAAAATTAGGCTATAAGTTAACAATCTTTCTGTCATTTATCACCTTTTATAGATGTGTTGAGCCTCCTTGTTTGAGGATTTCTGTATAGTACTACAAGCTGGGGTAACCAACCCCTGGGGAGTAGTTTTAACAGCTATACTAGTCTCATAAGCTAGGGTAACCAACCCCTGGGGCATGATTCTAGTTGTTAGGTAGATAGTTTAGACAGGATGATAAGTGACAGATGTTAGGTAGGTAGCTTAGACAGATAGATACTAGTTTTTAGGGTGATAGTTTAGACAGGTAGATAAGTGACAGTCTTTTGGTAGATAGGCTAGATAGATGCTAGTGTTTAGTATAGAGTTTAGCTAGTTTGAAAGCTTTAGAAAACTATAGCTAATTTTTTACAGATGTTRYTAGCTAGCTGACAAGCAGACCAATAGATAAATAAGATCATATATTAGATGAACTTGAACTACATGTAAATCCAATGTATTAAAGACATGTGTACTGTTAAGTGATGATTGCAGTACTTAGTCATTAAATAAAGGCTATTGGGCAGTATTAYTGGTTACATTTTATGTCACAAATATCTCAAATGCACTCAACTTGTACAAGGTGAATGAAGTTAGCACATTCCTGACCTCCTATTACTTGACAAAGCTTATCAAGTCAATTGATGTTCCTATTGCAAAAGAMGGAAAGCCCAGAAGATCTCACATCAGTTATTGAAGGTTGTGTAGACTCCCTGTGTAAAATATTATATCCTGACAAACTTGGAAAAWTAAAAAAATAAAAAGCTATTCAACAGAACAAAAGAACCGGAGAAATATTGCAAGGTAATTTTGAGGATAAAAATGGAGTTTTTGCAAAAATATTCAAGTTAACCCATTGATGTTAACTAATGTTTTCAAACAAGGTAGAAAAGTACTGGTATATAGGYAGGTAGTTAACCTCAAGTTTATTTTTTTTCTTATTTATACACAAAGTATGCATGTGCATTCAATAAAGCCTTGTAGTAATGCTATTATCATTTTATATTCACATCTTTTGCACAAGTTAATACCAGTATAAAGGATATTGCATTCATTACTCTTTATACTGACTTGTAAAAGATTTGTAAAATGATACACTGTTTATAATACAAAATTCATGATGTAAATAAATGCAAAAAGTAAATGATCTGAATAATTCCACCTGGAAAAGGCTTTGATGGTATAAAAATATAATTTGACTGATTTGTTAAAAGAGAACTGACAATGGCTGTTTTGAGTCATTCTCTTCTAGAAATGTTGCTGTCAAAAAGACAAATTATTTTTTTCTCATGTATCCACAAAAGCTAGAAGTTCAGATGGAAGTGGATTATCTTATGTGTCTGTCTAAATGAAACGGTCATCAAATRAAAAAATATCCATGGAAAATCAAAGTTTCAAGGAATTTAAGCTTAAAGTATTTGATGTGTTGAGATTTGCAAGCTTATATTCACCTTTGCAGAAAATATTTGAAATCCAAGACAAAATCAYCACCTATCAAAACATTTCAAGAACTATACATGATGCATTTGGTTTTCCTCAGCTAATACTGACAAATACACTATAAATTTACACAGGAAACTTATAAAAACATGTAAATTCACACATGCTGWGGGATACCAAATGCATTCCAAACACCATAATAGCAAGTGACGGATATGACTTCTTTAGAGAATGAGTAGACTATCTCAAATGGTCTGTCTTCTCTGCAGCTGAGGCTTGCATAATGTTTGTTCTTGAGATGTTTTGATAGTGGTTGGGACTCTGTCTGGGATTTCACACCAGCTTTGTCTATCAGCTCTAGGATATCTTCTGCAGATGTAAATATAAACTTGCACCTGTGCTTTGTCTCTTTCTTTGTASATGGTRAGGACTCGCATAGCACCTTCAACACATCAAATACTTCAAATGGCATATTCCTTGAAAAATTAATTCTCCATGGATTTCTTGTGTTCGGAGATGGTTTCATTCGTCGGAGACATAAGATAATCCACTGCKCCAACTCTCTTTTCAACATTCTTGATGGCTGAGCAAGAAAATACTTTGTCTTTTTGACACCATCCGCTAATGAATACTTTTTCAGGACAGCTCTTGTCAGTTCTAAAAGTTCTGCTTTTATCTCTGCCGCTTTTTTCCTCTCCCAAACAGGTGTTTCGGCCTCAAATTCCTCCATCGCTTCAAAAACTTTTTCATACGCTCGCGCCGCCATCTTGTTTTGACAAGCAAATTCTAGCGCAAAACCGCTGAAAATCGTGCGGACTCGAGAAAGTTAAAAGCGCCGGATTTGACTGGCTCCCAGCCCAGCGTGTTTCAACCTTTATCTTATCAGGTTCAATGGAGATCCCGAGAAAGTGACCATATTTGGTGAATCTGCTGGGGGTGCCAGTGTGTCCCTCCATTTGCTCTCCAAGTTGAGCAAAGGTCTCTTCAAACGAGCAATTCCGCAATCTGGTGACGCCGCAGGCCCATGGGCCACAACAACCGCAGAAAAAGTGTCTAAACATATGAAGTATGTAAAAAAATATACGATTCAATCAGAAATATATGCTCAAGGCATAGGAGAATAGGAGGCAATATAGAATTAGAACGTTTAAAGGAAAAGAAGAAAAAGAAGAAGACGTAAATACGTTGTCTCATCAATGAGAAAAATGGATTTTGCGGGAGAACAGTTTAAAGGCCCATGTGCATCCGAGACCTTTTGCGCGATTTTTTGACATATGAAATTTAGCTATGGTTGATTTTGAACCAATCAGAAAGCAACTTTCAACAAGAGATCTTTCGCAAAACAAAGCAAAAAGTCTCGAATCCATTAACTTTAAGCAATGGTTGTCAAGAAATTGTAGTTGCGCATGCTTTCCAAAAATTGAATTGCTGGTTYATTTTGGAGTAGCTACTAGCCAAATCTTATCACCTAACACTCACTTTGTAATTTCAACAGACAGTTCGCTAAGAATATGAAGTGTTCAGAGGATTTAAGCAAATTGAGGGAATGCTTAAAAGARAAAACCTTYAAGGAAATCATAATGGGAAGTTTGGTTATTCCTTTTCCTTCTTTGATTCCCGTCATTGATGGACATTTCCTCGAAGGTAAGTGATGTGTAGGGCCACCGACGTGCCAACTCTTTTTCAAATTGCAGAAAAMAAGCTGCCTCGGAAGCTGAGTAGTTGAGCAGCATGAATCACACAAAGATGGCGGCCAGATTAAACTGACTATGAGATGGTCTAGGCCCCACTGTCACAACGGTGTGTTCAATAGGTCTCTGAACCTTTTACGTCACTACTTGATTTGCAATGCGTTGTGGGATCAGTGTCTAGAGAAAACAAAAGAAATCCGCCATGTTTTGTCCCAAACATATCCTACAATGCATTGCGTATACGGCCGCTATAAAAACTTCAGAGGTCTATTGGAGCGCCTAGTGGTCCCACTAACTAACAATTGTAATTCCAAAGCAATTTACTGCCATTGAGGAACTAGTCGGCCATACCTATCTATATTCCTTAAGAATGTAGAGTTATGGCAGCACTTGCCACACAAGATTTCGTGTGCTGATGATATACCATCCCAACTTTAAAAGTTTTTGTTGAAATGATTTTTTTTACTTATAACGTATGAGTGGGAAACGTACGGTATGAATTACCGCACGGTTACCGCACGGTTACCGCACAGTTACCGGACCTTGGCCTGCACCTTTTTTGTGAAGCAATGAGACGCTAGAAATTTGGTTACAGTACGATTACGGTTACAGTACAGTACCGTCCGTTTCCCACTCATACGAAATTTACTCTAACGTAAAGTGTGAACTATAAGTGATATGTTTTGTTATTGGCGTTTAGATGCTCCAATTGATATGTACAAAAARCAAAATATCGAGGAGATTGACCTTATGTTGGGAGTTACTGATGACGAAGGGACAATATTCGCCAACACTCTAATACCAGGTAATCACTCCAACATACACAACTATTTCGAAGAACKCACAATATATTACGCTACTGGGCATTCCAAGAACGAAACGTTGCGAAATGACAAATTTGAACTTATAAGTAGATAACTATTGAAAGATTTCACTGCAGGGAGCTGGCATAGTTCTAAAAACTGTAAACCTCTTTTARCGGCGACATAACGACCAACAATGTGTTTCGGTATTCTTCGTTTTCAAGTTACGTCACAGCGGCCATCTTGGAGGAACTTCAACAAGGATTTCTCGTTAGTATCTATAGTTCATTCCTCCAACATAGCCGCCGGTCTTTTATATTTTGAATCTCGTGGGAATGGTTAAAACACATCATAGTATTCAGGTGTATTTTTTAATAGTCATATATGAGTCATGTATTTGTAGATTTTTCAAGAATGCCGGCACAGTTACGCTAAGTTACCTTGCCTCAAATCTTCTTCTTTGTTTCATCATTTACAGGGTATAGCRTCAATATTACTTATGGCTTTCCCAGGAGTGAGTTCCTCGAGTCACTCAGGACTACAGGACTTTCTATTGTGATACCAAACGATAGAAAAGTTCTAATCAATTCCACAATCTTCCTTTATACCAACTGGAAAGACGTCGATGGCCTGGACAGCAACCGTCGTGGCTATTTAGACTCACAAGGTGATCCGATGTTTGTAGCGCCGGCGGTGTTGGCAGCTGATGCGTACTCAAAGAAGAAGTCTGCTACATACCTTTACTTTCTCGAGTATCGTTATGATGGAAAAATATTTGGTGTGTCACTCCCCCCTTGGGTCAGTGCGTCACACGGAGCAGATGTTGGGTTTATTTTTGATCCTCTTCTCGACGACCAATGGAGTGTGAATGCCAATTTCTCACGTACTATGATCAAGATTTGGTCGAACTTTGCAAAAACTGGGTAAGACTTCTAAGCAAATTCCGAGAAAATGAGCCAGAACGGAGCAAAGGTTGAG